CGACCTTGAGCGTCAGAACCAGGAGTACCAGGTGCTGCTGGACGTGCGGGCCCGGCTGGAGAGCGAGATCAACACGTACCGGGGCCTGCTGGAGAGCGAGGACTGCAAGTGAGTATGAGGCGAAGGATTTCTGGGAAAGCGTGTGTGGTGGGCCTATAAGACATTGTGGCCACACACATGTTGGCCATATTCTCAATTCACCCAACAGCACACCTTAATCAAGCATCTACTATCTGACAATTAAACAAATGGGGAAGGTCAACAGTGAAGGGCATACGTCCCCTGCCTCAAGGAACTAACAATGGAGAGGTGATGAGAGAGAGGTGGTTACTCACAACAATAACTATCGAGTAAGGCAGACGAGAGCCCAAGAGCATGAGATAATATTTTTCAGAAGGTCAATTTCCCCCTCTGCACAAGGTATTCTGGGACAGGGAGAAGGATTTGGTAAGAAATAGATGCCAATTAAACTCAACCATTGAGAATTCACAGGTTGTCTGATTAGGCACCCTGGGACTCTCTCCACTCCTCTCCGTAACCCATTCTAAATCTCTGTGTCCTTGCAGGCTTCCCGGCAACCCGTGTGCCACCACCAATGCTAGTAGCAGCTACTGCGGGCCCTGTGGCAGCTCTCAAAAGCGTCTCTGTTAATTTAAAAACTTGCACCCTCTTTGAAGATGACAATGAAGCCGTTTAGATCAAGGATAGGAAAGGTCCCCAGGTCCTGCCTTTGTTAAGCTCAGTTGCCATTTAGAAACATTGTCGTGCCAACTGTGATATTTCTAGACATGGAAATGCTTCCAGACCCAACAAGCAAAGACACGCATCATCAACTCCCAATGTCTGGCAAACTCCTTCCTGTTGAAGGTTGAGTTTCTTTGTTTCTGCAGATGTCCAGCTCCCTGCAATCTGAGCTCCAGGGTTTCCTTTAGGCTGTTTCCTGTACTTATTGTGTTTCCTGCTTTCCTTGCTTCTTCAGTGTTCTCTGGAATGCAAGGAGGCTAGTTCATTTACTTCCCAATAAACTTTACTTCTCTGGCATAGTAAATGTGTTTCTCATTCATATTCATACATTGTAAAGTACTCATCGTGGCAGTTTCATAAAAATATCCCTTCATTAGGAGGATGAAATGGGTAAATGACTGACTCCAGTCATCATGTTCCACTGGTAAATTCTGACGGAGGGGGAGGGATGTCCTCCTGGGAGGCTCCCAACATGCAGAAAGCCTGGCCTTTAACACCCACACCCGTCTTGCTGTGTCTGCAGGGCTCTTGGCAGTTCTGAGTGTCCTCCCCAAACCTCACTGCTGTCTCCACTGCTGTCTCTCAGCCTCATCACTCTGGAATTCTCTGCTTCCCCTTGCCCCTAACCTATGGAGACAAGCTTCTGTAGAAACTGCTCGAGGAGGAGCTGGCTCTCCTCTCAACCTCTCTGCTGTACCTGCATCGCCAATATAGATACCAGCCCCTCCATCGATATGAACTTTCATTGATTTCCATAACTCTGCACGCTCTGGCTCCTCTCATTCTATGTCCGACTGCCTGTTCTCTGTCTCCTGATTGGCTTGTCTTCCCCTTTCTGTCCAAAACGGAGGAAATGCCTAGATCCTCGGCTCTCTGTTTTTCTCTTTCTACATCCATGTTCATGGAGAGCCAGCGTCTCTCTGCCGACGACTCCCCAATCTTGCTCTCACCTGAGCTCAAGTTCCAGGTCTTCATTTGCCCATAGGATACTTTCACTTGGTATCAGGCTATCGCATCACATTTAATTGAACTAAAGCTTACGTTTGCCGAAGTGGCTCATCTTGTACCCGGTCATCACACCCAACACGTGGTTATCTAAAGACCTTTAAATGCAGGCAGGCATCTCTCCTTACCTCCTCCTCTTCAAGTTTGTCCTTTTCTCTAGGTATTTGCTCCTACGCACAATATTCTTCCATAACCTCCTTATCATTTCATTTTCTATAATTTGAAGAAAGGTCAATGTTCACTGTCCCCCCCAATCAAACATTAATCCCCCCCGCTCTTGCCTCATCTCTGAATTTTTATAGCTCTCAATTCTACCGGCCACTATCTCAATTACCCATTCAATTTGATGCTATCTGACTGACATCCTACAATCGATCGTCTATAGCATGTGGCAGTACTTTGTGGGATGCTGAGAACACACGAATACATAAGCACCAACCCTGGCCCTCAGCATGTTTACAGTCTAGCGTGGATAAGACAAAGAGACAATCGCATACACGCAAACGTCAGTGTGGCTCCAGAAAGCTGTCAGTAAAGAATGATGAGTTTCCCAGGTGTGAGAGAGTGATAAGAGGCTCCAAGAAGGAAGGAGCACTTGAGCAGGACTTTGAAAACCCAAATATTCTATTCATACAAATTTTGTCTGCCTCTTCTGTTGACTATAGGTCCTTCAACAGAGACAGAATCTCTACCAAATTAAAGCCTAGTACAAACCATAGAACGCTTTAAGTGGAATAAATAAGGAACAGTAACACTAATGAGGATCCATGAGGTTATTAAAACTTTATATACTTCCCAGAGTTCCAACTTCAATCAACTATTACTGTATGATAGTAGCATAATTCTGAAATAAATGTTGATGGATATGTTTGGACAGGTGAGTGTGTGCAGGTCTGAGAAGAGCGCAAATTTTTCCAAGCATGAACTCTGCCTGGTAAGGAGATGAGGAAGCAGGGGGTGTGGTAAAGGCCTGACAGACCAATTGCTAGCCTGGAGCAGAGGATAAACGCGGTAGTGGAATAGGAAACTAGAAAGGAGTTAGGGAGGCCCATAGCTGGCAGTGCTGTGAGATTTGCTTGTGAGGAAGGGTGGCATATGACGTATCAGGCAGCTATGTGAAGGCTGGGTTGTGATGAGTCCTACAGGTTGGTGGGGTTGGGTGGGAAAGGAGGACCATCAATTAGGAGGCTGATGAGAGACAACAAGGACTGAGATGAGTGGAGGTGGGGGGTTGGGGGAGGACGGTGGGGGGAGCGGGGGAAGGGGGAGTGGGCGGGGCAAGGGAAGAGCAGATTCCAGAGGCACAGCCTGGGATGCGGAAGCTGATTGGAAGTGGAGGAACCATGGAGAGAGAAGGACGGAAACTAGCATTGATTGAATACCTACTATAGGTCAACATGAGTGAAGTTTTCGAGCCTGAGAAAATGAAACAATAGTGGGTCTCCAGTGGAGAGAGCTGGAAAAGAATGACTAGATTTGGGAGAGATGTTGGAGAGATACTTACACAAAGATGATAATAGTTAAAGGTGTAGGAGTTCTTAAGAGTGTCAAGGAAAGATGTTAGAGAAGGTGGAAGAACCTTGGGAACCACTGACAGTTATGACAGAGCAGGCCTGGGCTTCTCCAAAGTCCCTGACATGAGGTTCTGCCTTGGTTTAGCTGGGTCTCTGAGGATAGAGATATCTGATTATAAGCAGTTGGAGAAGGAAGTGGGAAAGCAGCTGAAGTGACAGACAAATCAAAAGAAGTCAGAGCTCAATGAGGGGATGGTCAACAGCATCCAGGGCAAGGAAGATGAGGATTCAGACACATCACTGGTCATAGCAATGGGCAGGTTGCTGGTTACTATCAAGAGACCGGGGTCTGTGAAATGCTGGGGAAGAAGCCATATTTCGGTGGCTTTCACATCTGTCTCAAATCACCAAGTTAATAGTGAATTTAATGCGAAAGTTCAACACTACACATTCACAGTAAACATGAAGCTCACTTTGCTTTATCCTCTCTGTACTACTAAAAACGTTTTAACATCTGCTCTTCCCTTTTGACCTGCAGAGCAGTCACATAAACAGATTTTCACTCCTCTGAGTGGTCCCTGAATCCAGCTTTCCCAGAAGACTAGGACCATTAAGTTACATTGTCCTGGATTGTTTCATGTTCTTCTCAACTCCTCTATTCTCGACTGGGTAGAGTGAAAAATATACTGAGGAGATTTGCATTTTTCTGACTTGGCTTGGTCCCTTGAGACCCTCAAACTCCTTTCCCTTTGGGAGTCTGAGGCCAACGTAAGAGAAACAATGGTGGCTCTGAGAGATTTTGTGGAATGGGCCATGAATCCCATTTCGAGGTGCCTGTACCTCTCTTTGCTCAGCCCATCTTACTACTGAGCTAGCTCATTCTCCAGGTCTTGTCCCGCTTGTCCTCCTTGGAATCCTGTTTGAGCATCTCCTCAGAGCCAAACCTGTTAGCTTAGTTCCTGGATTACCATCACACTTTCTCCCCTCAGTGTAGTGAGGCTGGGTGATTGATAAATTCGTAACGGCTGACTTTATGGAATGGCCTGTGGAAACCCTGTGTCCTGTTCTTATAAGCAGCTCTAACTGGGGCTGGCCCAGCTTGCCGGGCTGGTGTTGGTATTGAACAGTGTTTCTGATTTTCTGATTCTCCAGTGGGTAAGTCTTCATCTCTCTTAGGCATAAGTCAGTGCTCCTGGTCTGAGTGTGCCCGATGACACTACTCCTGGCCTCTCCTTGCCATTAGTACACATGAACATATAATTAATCAATAAGTGGCCTGATACGTTACTTTGCATTTCCCAAAGAATACATTGTATGTTTCTCATGATGAGAATTTGAAATGCCAGTACCTGGCCATCAGGGAAGATGGTTTGGGAAGGAGGAAGGAGGCCTCCTAATGCCTTTAAAGTCCTGCCACAGGGAGGATGGCCTCAGCAGATCTGCCCTGACTCCACTCCATGGTTAACCACCATGGTGAGTTTGGGTGTGATCTTCCCCCAGAAATAGCCTTGGCTTCCATCATAAACAGTGTCCTTAAACCTCAACAGCAATTTGCTCACATGGTAAGACCAGAAGCCTTACCAAGGCGTCTACCACAATTACCTGGGCAGGTGTAAAACCTTTCTGTTTGTTAGGATTTGATTTGCTCATCATGTTTATTGAAGGGTCATTGACTAGAGACAATGTCATCGCTTATGCAAAGGTAAGAATTCACAGCATACAGTAAGTGGAATAAATAAAAGCGGTTGTCTTGCAGAATTCCTGGGAAGCTAATTGAAACTTGGCTCTCTTCTCAATAGACCCAAGTGGTCTCAACCATCATTATCTAAAGACCACGTAGCTATGCGGCAACCATAGTTACTTCTACTCAAGGTATGGGAATACCCTCCACTTTCAAAGATAAAAGCATACTTACCTCTGGACTTCTATGTTCAGACTGAGGTAGAAGCTACAGTAATGGTTATAGGGACCCTCATGAACATATTTACCAGTTTACAACAGTATATTCCTTTGCTATTCTTTAAAAACTGCCATTGTCTAGATTTTTCTCATTTGAAGCTTTGAGTAGAGAGAAAGGGAGGAAGACAGAGAAAAGCTAATGAATCTAGCTATATACTTTATATTATTTGATCTCATCCAATAGGGCTTCAATTGGTTTGGTATTGATTTTAAACAAGCACACTCATTCCACATTTCTCTAAAGGTAGAGATTCAGACAGGAGGGGCAGAGAGCTGTGGATTGTGACCACGGATGAGATGTCAGCGCCTTCAAAGCACACGCTCTAGGAGACCACATGTTACTCCAAAGCTGCCGTCCTTTATGAAAGCGTATATGAAGCTTGCTCTCGGGAACAACTTTTAGAATCCTACATTATTATTTTATAGTCTCAATGTGTTTCTGACCCATTAAAGATACTACTCAGGTTGGTTGTTTATTCTACTCACTAGGCTTGGTTCCAAATGATATCTGGTTGGTTGCAAAACTAAACATACCCTCAGAAGATGAAGATTTACCATCAATGAAGATAACCAAAAGAAAGTATCCTAGGCTGCGAGGGCAAGTTTGAAGACGGCGTAATCTGAGTAATGACTGTATGGGAGGAATGAGTATACAGCTTCCAAAAGGAACTACTTTAAGGAGTATCTTTCATGTTTTGAGGACTGATAGATTAAATATAAAATCCTCATAGTTCAAATCTCCACCTGAAACACAGTGAGGGCAGAACATCTGTTTGTCAAAATGTATTGATGGTCACGAGATGCCATTAACCACACAATAATTTAGTGGCTTTTTAGAATCGTATCCTTTGGAAAGCTGGGCTGAAGTGTTTTTACATCAGATAACTCAGTTTCCGTTTTTAAAGTTTCTAGTAGGTATTGTACTTTCTCACTTAGTAGATTTCCTTCCATTAGAATAGAAATGACCTTTGGTTCTTGGATAGAAAACAGGCTTTTATTTCTTGGCCGACGCTAATTTAGGAGGGGATATTGTCTAGTAGTCGTTGGGTCCCATTGAACTCATAATGATTTGTGCATTATTGAATCTCAGTGGTGAGAAGATAAGAGAGTGTGGCTGTTGGAATCAGAGAGATCGGGTTTGAACTCCGGCTCCACTGTGTAGGAGCTCTGCGACCTTGGGCAACCTCTCAGAGGCTTGCTGTCCTCATCTACAATCCCTGCAGGGTTTTGTGAGTACTGAAGGAGATAATGCACATGAGGTGCTTAGCACAGTGGGTGCTCAGTGAACAGGAGCCATTCTAATAACAGTCACACTGTGTGTAAGCACATAGTAAGTCTTCATGCAGAGTAGGTGCTCTCAAGATGTGAGTTTTCTCAACATTCTGTGAACGTGGAATAATAGCAGAAATGGAGTGTGGGGGTTTCCCGCAGCCCCCTTGGAAGAGAATAGAATTGCCTCCATCTGGCCTGGGTAGAATGGCAAAGGGACGTTGAACGGGGTGGCCTCCTAAGTCCTCTCTGATCTCAGCTTCCAGGATTCCCCACCCATCAGTCTGGTTTCCAGGTGGCCTTCCTTAGATGGCTTTTCTCAAAGTCCTTACTGAGCTGGGTGAGGAGTTGGATGATGGATGAGGCACGGACCTTTCCTCGTTTAAGGGAAGAGGCACAGAAGAGCCCCCAACTCTGGGGGACAGTGTACAGCTGTCACTCTAACTCAACACCCTGTGAATAAGCAGCAAGGGAATGGGCTGATCACTTTGAAGACAAACCATGAAGCTCTTACTTAACCAACCAGCATGATTGGCGAGGAGTCCTGACTTAGCAAGAAGCCAAAGTAACATATTTTATGAGGTAAAGGACTCGTGTGAGGTGGCTAAACGGCAAATGGAAAAATTGGTCAGGAAGGTAAAAAGAGGTAACGCTGGACATGTTTGGCACACCCAACACTGACAGAATATAAAGCCCTGGAGAGGACCAGGGCCACACCAGAGAAGAGGAATCAGGCTTTGGAACTGACCTTCAGAGCTCCACTCTCTCCAGCACCATGTCTTACAGCTGCTTCCTGCCCAGCCTGAGCTGCCGATCCACCTGCTCCTCCCGGCCCTGCGTGCCCCCCAGCTGCCACGGCTGCACCCTGCCCGGGGCCTGCAACATCCCTGCCAATGTGGGCAGCTGTAGCTGGTTCTGTGAGGGCTCCTTCAATGGCAACGAGAAGGAGACCATGCAGTTCCTGAACGACCGCCTGGCCAGCTACCTGGAGAAGGTGCGCCAGCTGGAGCGGGAGAACGCGGAGCTGGAGAGCCGCATCCGGGAGCGGTGCCAGCAGCAGGAGCCCGAAGTGTGCCCCAACTACCAGTCCTACTTCCGCACCATCGAGGAGCTCCAGCAGAAGGTGAGGGGGTGGCACCACACTGCCAATTTAGTAAAGCATCTATTCAAATTTAGCATACCCACTTCTGAACGGATCTAAGACTGTTCGAAGCTAACGTTGAGAAGGATAAAGACATAGACTTCGTTGGTTTAGCTACAATACATCAAATTGTCTTAGAAAATCTCTTCGGGAGGCCCCACAAGGGAAGGATGCAGGCTGGGGAGAGGGTAAGGCGTTAGACCAAATCAGTTACAGCAATTTTACATTGCTTCTTCCCTAAAACCAGATTATCCGACCCTAGTTCTAGTGGGATATCCTGGTCTTGTTTTCAGAGCCTATAGCTTTTTAAAAAAGTATGCACTGAATTATTTCTTGGAGCCAGGAATTTCCTGAGAGAATCCTCAAATACGTAAAGCCTTTCAAAGCTGCAGAAAGAGACTGTGTCTGTAGCAAAGCAAAGAGCCATTGACTCCAGAAGCCTCTCTAATATATAGACAGCATGCCATCCACCAGAGCCGACTCATATACAAGTGAGAACTCAGGACCCGTAGTGCAGGAGTGGAAGTGAGGATAAGGAAAGAGTCAGCACAGAGGTGGGACTCGGTGGAGGTCAGGGATGGATTCCCAGGAGAGGCAATATCTGAGCAGGGATTGAAGGATGAGCAGGAGTTGATGTCCAACTGCACAAGCCCTTGATTCTCAGAGGGCATGGACTGTCCCCTCTTCAGTAGTTCTGGTAAAGTGAAGGCTGGTAAGGGGCTATGAGAGTTGAAGATCATGCATTCATTTACTCACGTTTAGTGATGACTAGGCACAGTGCTGGAGCGAGGGATAAAGTACTGGGTAAGACAGTCTCTTGCCTTCAGAGCTCGCGGGCTAGGGGAGAAAAGTGGAGAGTGGAAACCAATGACCAGAGGGAAGGTGACGGGAAGTGTAACTGGTTGAGAGCAAAGTCCTGTGGGAGGGCGTGGAGGAAGCAACCCCCTGCAGGAGCTGGGGAGGACGGGGATGGGGGTTATGTGAGGGGTCTTGAAGGTGGTAAGGACATCCCAGGGCACTCCAGGTAGAGGCGGAAGCTTCGTGCAAAAGCCTTGTCCAAGGCAGTATGAGGGGAGAGTGGAGAGAGGTCAGCAGGGCTGGAAAAGGAGGGTATGAGGGTAGGATAACCAACTTGTCCTGGTTTGCCTGGGGTTTTTCTGGGTTTAGCATCCCAGGAACCCTCCAGTTCCAAGCAAAGAAATAAATGGGAGGACTTCAACCTGGTTCCTCTGTATTTAAATAGCAACAATTATAAGCCAGTTATCATGCCAGGTTTGTCACTGAGCAAGGAGAAAATAAGAAAGAAATGATAGAATCTTGGAGTGAGAAGAAACATTAGCAGTCATTTAATCAAGCAGCCTCATTATACAAATGAGTGACTCAGGAGGCCTGAATCACAAGAAGTGACAGGTTACATCACCTGGACTTCGGCTCATGATTCCTAAACTCCAGTGCAATCCTCTTCCCACCTCACTGGACTCCCTCAAAGAGAGTTTATTTATAGACTTCTTTCTGTGGGTTCATGCCTACCTCTTCCTCCAACAGGAAGTCAACTCCCTGCGTAGCCGGCTTGGAGACCGCCTCAACGTGGAGGTGGACGCGGCCCCCACCGTGGACCTGAACCGCGTGCTCAATGAGACCAGGAGTCAATATGAGGCCCTGGTGGAGACCAACCGCAGGGACGTGGAGGAATGGTTCATCAAGCAGGTGGGCATCCCAGCACGTGGCCACTCAGGACCTGAGGCCCCTCAGAGCCTTTCAGGCAGGGTCTGAGCCTGTCTTGTCCCCTCTGGTGTTTCAGACCGAGGAGCTGAACAGGCAGGTGGTGTCCAGCTCAGAGCAGCTGCAGTCCTACCAGGCGGAGATCATCGAGCTGAGACGCACGGTCAACGCCCTGGAGATCGAGCTGCAGGCCCAGCACAACCTGGTGGGTAGTGTTCAGCCGTCCTGGTGAGAAATGTGGGATCCCATGTCGGGGAATGGGAGTCAGAGGGATGCCCTTTGGGCCACACTCTCCCTAACTCTCGAAGCTTGTGACTTCTTGGGAACCCTGTGGAGAAGCCCGTTGAGGGAGCAGCTCTGAGATGTTCTTTGTCTCCCCCACAGAGAGACTCTCTGGAGAACACGCTGACGGAGACAGAGGCGCGCTACAGCTCCCAGCTGTCCCAGGTGCAGGGCCTGATCACCAACGTGGAGTCCCAGCTGGCCGAGATCAGGAGCGACCTTGAGCGTCAGAACCAGGAGTACCAGGTGCTGCTGGACGTGCGGGCCCGGCTGGAGAGCGAGATCAACACGTACCGGGGCCTGCTGGAGAGCGAGGACTGCAAGTGAGTACCGGGCACCCCTACAAGGCACATGCACGGTTCTACTAAAGGCTGAAAAAGGGACTTTGCAGATCAACTTCCAGACGCCAATATGTGTGTAAAGACTAGTGTTTTATATTACAGCAGCGAGAACTAGGGTGTATCTGTTGCTATCATTACCTGGCCTAAAGGTATTTTCTGTTCCAAAAGATGCTAGTGAGATTTGACCGTTTTCCCTACTGGTGATCCTTTGGATGCTGAGGGGTAAATGAAGCTTTGTACCTTCAGGCTTGGCTGTCACAGCAAAAGGGAAAACAAAACTGTAGCAACTATCATGCAAATTTGAACAGTGCTTTTGGATTTAACCCCACTCCCTTGTGTCTTTGATCCTTGTTGGAATCATCTGAGGCAGGCAGAGTGGGGATCAGTGTAACCATCATACAGATGAGCCTTTGAATATTGATAGGGAAGATGACTCAGGAACTCATAGGGTCCAGCACTTGTCACCCAACACAGTATTTTTATGAACAAATTCTGTGTGGTAGGGATTACCAATCCCATCTTACAGGTGCGGAGGCTGAGGCATAAGGGCATGAAGTGACTTCCTTCCCCACGACTCTGGGGTTGTAGAGCGAGGGCTGGGATTCCACCTCAAGGCTTCTTTGCTCTTTTCCATCACTGTCTCTGAGCTTTGCCGAAGGAGTCATCCGAAGCAGGCTTGGCTTCCCAAGATGTCCGAATGGTTTCCACTTGTTCCTGTGTCTCCTTGGGTTGAGCTCCTTCTCTTAATTTTTTATTGTCCTTTCCATGCTGAGGACTTAATGATTCTGTCTCCCAGGCTGCCCTCCAACCCCTGCGCCACGACCAACGCCGGTGACAGGTCCTGCATCACCAATCCCTGCACCCCTTGTGTCCCACGCCCCCGCTGTGGGCCCTGCAACACCTTTGGGTGCTAGATATCCTGGGGCCAGCAGGAGGGTTGCGTGAAGACAGAAGGGACGTCGATGGACCAGCTCTGCTTCTCTGACAACCATCAGCCGCAGGACCCACCCCAGGCATCACCATAAATGATAGTCTGGAAGGAGAACAAATGCCCAGGGTGTGGCCCGGCTCTGAGCCTAGGCCCGCCTGCTCCTCTTCATTCAGGGCCACTCTCTTGTAGTTATTCTGCGACCTGATGGTCTGACGGGTTTGGGCTGTGAAGGTGTCATATGAGGTGTTTTGTGGTTCTCTCTGCTGCTTTCTTCTAGTTCCATAAATCCCTTTGTAAGTCTTCTAATAAACTTTCCTCTTGCAAAGCAGTGATGATTCTCATTTGTATTCATTCTTTTCAAAGTGTTCCCTCCATGTGTACGTGCTTCTTATAAAGCCACTTGAAAGCCCAGAAGGACTGTGTAGTTCAATGCTCTCCTGAAAGGTCTCCGTCACCATTAATTAACATTCATTGAGTGCAACGAGCCCCAGCATCCACTCAGCCAGCAGGGAACCAGTGGGACCACTAAGGCAAGAGGCCTCATCTGAATATGATGAGCATTCATTATGGGGCCTTACTCAGTAAAATACAACAGTTAACATTTCTAGAAAGTTCCACTTTTTTCTTTTCCAAGTGCCTACAAGAAGAGGGACAGGAGTTAACACTTATTGAACGCCAACCAAGAACCAGGAACTGCACGACTAATTTTTTCTCTTACACAGTAAGTGACAACGGCGGGACCGAACCCAGAGCTCACTCTCAGAATGTCAGTTACATGTAAGGTGTGAATATGAGAGACTAAAACTGACTTCAAACAAGCACCCAGAGCTTACACACCCTTCAGAATTGTCACCCGGCGAGAGGGGATGCTATTGGTACCCCAAATATCTCTGCAACCCTCCTTTGGGAAATACTGGAGAACACATAGGGGTAGAAAGCACTATCTTGTATTTGAGTAATAACCAACAGATTTTTGAAGTGTCTCTCTTCCCTTTTGAATATTGTAACGCTAGGTCTAAATTTGGATTTTGAGACGCCCCTCCTGTGAAAGTTCTTTAGAACCAAACTAGGATATTCAGTCTCTGGTCTCTGCCGGGACTAAAAGTGCCAGCTCTGCTGGTGCCCACTCCTACGGGTACCCACTGATGTCTGCCAAGGTTAATGGCTCCTATGGCTGTGCAAGGCCACTGTCCCAGTCTTTAGCCAAACTGCTAGTTATGTCTTCTCTCCTTGAGATGGAGCTGACGCTATCTCCCCCTGCTGTGTCCATGCCCTCTCCAGTGTCTTAAATTCTTGTTCTCTCAAATATATTCAACAAAAAACATTGTTGTTCTCTCACACTCTAGTTCTTTCAATGTTTAGTCCGTTGTTGTTGATGTCGTTGGAGCTCCCTTATCCAGACCTCAGGCAGGAGACCTTGGAAGATAATCGAGTGACACTATGTTATGCTCGGAATGTCCCAAACCCAGTTAGTGCCTTCCAGCCTCTCTTCATTCAGGGCAAGTTCGTTCCCAGGAGCCACCTCCATGCCTTGTACAAATACTCTTGTTCAATCTATCCCATCAGTTCTCCAACATGCAGGGACCACTGTCCGCCAATGGTTACCTGCCTTTTTGTGAGGGACAGGTACCTCACAAACCCTGTGTTCTGTGCCTTGTGAGTGAGAGCTCAAATTTCTCAACACAGCAAATATATTTTGTTCTCATTGTTCACTGTGGAAAACATTCAACAAAACTTTGTCTCTATGCTTTCAGGTTTTTTTTTTTGCTGAGGAAGATTGGCCCTAAGCTAACATCTGTTGCCAAGCTTCCTCCCCTTGCTTGAGGAAGACTGTCCCTGAGCCAACATCCGTGCCAGTCTTCCCCTACTTTGTGTGTGAGATGCTGCAACAGCATGGCTTGATGAGCAGTATGTAGGTCCATACCAAGGATTTGAACCCCTGAACCCTGGACCACCGAAGTGGAGCACGTGAACTTAACCACTATGCCACTGGGCTGGCCCCTGTCTCTGTGTTTGATGGGGCTGTGTCAGTGCGAGAACTGGGTCCAGGGGAGGCCGTCCTGAGTTCTTGTCTCTGTCATGGTGTTTTTTTTGGTGGAGAAGAGAAAGGGGTGTCAGTGAAGTCACTTTTTCTTGGGACAAAGCCAAACTGGGTTCTGAGACATCTGGTAGGGTCCAGCGTTACTGTTACCTCACAAGCCGGGCAAGTCACAGGGCTCTGATGTCCACTGCTGATGATCTGTGATTCACTACCTAGAGTAACAAGGCAATGCTCCTATTTCTTATTTTAAATTAGGAAACATTTCAAACATATGAAAGTGCAAAACAATAATAAGACATCTATAGATCCAACACCAAGATTTAAGTGACATTAATCTTGTGCTGTATTTTTGTCATTGCTGTGGGGTTTTTTTGTTTGCTTTGTTTTTCAGAAATAAAATGTTACAGGTTGAGATAAAACCCTACCTTTATCCATCCTTGTTTCCCTCTGCCTCCCTAGAGGTAACCACTGTGCTAACTTGGTGGTGTATTATCCTCCAATTAAAACATTTCTAAGAACTGTACGTGGATGTATACATGTGCGTTTGTGTGTGTGTGTTTCAACTTAGCAGTTTAAGTTCGAAAATACAAATGGTATAAATTTTGCCATTAATTTTCCCCATTCAACATTATGTTTCTGAGATTTATCTACGTTAACACATGTTCTTTTCATTTATTTTAACTCCTATGTAGCATTCCCTAATGAAAACAAGTCATGTTTTCATTTCCCTATTCCGCTACTGAGGGATGGTTAGGATGTTTCTTTCTTGCTTTATCATTATAAACAGAGCTGCAGGAACGTCCCTGCCAATGTCTCCTAACGCACCTGTGTGAGTTTCTCCAGAGCAGCGGTTCTCAAAGTGTGGCTCCCTGGGAACCTGGGGAGCTGGTAGAAATGCAAATTCTTCACTCCCACCCGAGACCTACTAACTCAGAACTCCGAGGATGGCGCCCAGCAATCTGTTTTGTTTTGTTTTCTAATCTTTATTGAAATATCACTTCTTTACAAAGGAAATAAAATCTCAAAGAGATATCTGTGCTCCCATGTTCATTACAGCATTGTTACAGCCAAGACATGGAGACGATTGCAGTGTCTGTTGATGAATGACTGGGTAAGGGAAATGTGACATGTATATCATATATATACACACACACACACACACATATGTATGAAGGAAATCCTGCCATTTGGGACAATGCAGGTGAACATGGAGGACATTATGCTAAGCAAAATAAGAGACACAGAAAGACAAATACTGCACGATCTCACTTATATGTGAAATCTAAAAAAGTTCAACTCATAAAAGCAGAAAGTAGAATACTCTCTGGGGTAAATGAGGAGATGTTGGTCAAAGGCTACAAAGGGTCGTTATATGGGATGAATAAGTCCTGGCGACCTAATGTACAGCGTGGTGACGATAGTTAATAATAGTATATTGTATACTTGCAATTTTCAAAGGGGATAGAACTTGAATTGAATTTTCTTAACACACACACAGACACACAGAGTAATCATGTCGAGGTGATGGATAAGTCATTTAGCTTGATTGTGGAGATCTTTTCCCAATATATGCATATATATAAAAGCATCAAGTTGTATACCCAGATATCTGTTTTCACTTTCAAACTTGAGACGTGTGCTCAGACTTAGCAAACGTTGCTAAGGGGTTTACGTTTACTTGCTTCCAGTGCTGCTTGTATTTTCTTCCTCCTTTTGGGTTTCACTTTCTTGTTTTCTGAAATACATTCTTGTGTAGTTCTTACAGAATCTATAAGTGACAAATTCCCTCAGTCACTGTTGGAAGACGTCTTTTCTTAGTGGTCACTCCTAAATGATGGTTTTATTGGTACAGAATTCCAGATTGATGGCTATTTTCCTTCAGCATTTTGAAGGAAATGCCTATTGCCAATCAAACTGTGGTTGCATTGTTGGTAATCCTTTTATTTTTTTCTCTCTCTGGCTGTTTCCAAGGTCACCGCTTCGTCTTCCTGCTGGGTAGCTCCACTGCGCTCTGGCCAGGGGTGGCGCTAGTTTTGTTTTCCTGCTTAGGTCTGCTGTGTTTCTTGAGTTGATCCATGTTTCTCAACACTTGTGGAAAATTCCCAGCCATTATGATTTTTGAATATTCTGTCCTCTTCCATCTTCTCCTTCTGAAGTCTTTTTTAAAAAATAGCTTTATTGAGGTATAATTCATACTGTATATATATTATTCACATACCATAAAATTCTCCCATATAAAGTATACCATTCAATGGTTTTTAATATATTGGTAGAGTTGTGTAACCATTACCACAATTTTAGAACACTTTATCATCCTCCAAAGAAATCTTGTCCCCATTTCTAATCAGTCCCCATTCTCCTCAACCCTCCAGGCTTAGGCAACCATAGTTTTCTCTATGGATTTGTCTACTCTACACCTTGCATATGACTAGAATCATGCAATATGTGGTATTTTGTGACTAGCTTCTTTTACATAGCATAAGGTTTTCAATTTAGAGCCCAGTAAGAGATCGTTCAGCTTTCCGCCCCACCCCTCCATTTTCCTGTAACAATGAGTGTACCTTTTGTTTTCTAGTTTACCTTTTCACTAGAGATGCTGTCTTTTGAGAGATGTGGCTTTTTTCAATGGTCTGAGTTCCAGTCCTCTCATGAAGACCAAGGGCCTTGTTCCCTGTCCCTCATTTCTAATTCACCTTTTTCCAATTGAGACCCTTTCACAAACTCTCCGTGGGAGCTTGAGCAAGTCACTTTCCCTTTGGGGTGAACATTTTCCCATTTGTAAAATGAAAGAGTTGGGTGAGATGGCCCCTTAGGTCCTTGGTAGCTCAACATTCTAAGATTCTAGTCTTCACCTGACTTAGACACTATCTCCAGGAAAGAAATGTCATCATCCTATGAGTGTGTGGGAAGTCCAGTCTAAGGATGTAGCTCAGTGAGTGGATCCTAAAACTCCATCTTCTTGCACTGTGGGTGGCAGTCAATTCAGAACCTTTTTCCAAGAGTTATGCCTTTTGGCATTCTCTTCACCTGTAGCTCAGACCACACATCAGTCAATTCATGAGCTACAGTCTGTTTGATCTCACAGGAAGCTTGGTTTCCCTTCATCACCTCTTAATAGCTCCTCTTTGGAATTGGCAAAATCAGCAGTTATCACAAGGGTGTGAATGCCAATCATGACAAAGGCTTTATTTCTGGAATAACAAGCTCAAGTGCAATTTAGTGATTATATTGCAATAGGAGCCTTACTGGATCCTTTTATATCTCTTTACTTCTTTAAAAGACTTGTA